TGGAAGTGTACAGAAAAAGATCTAGAAAGGTGAAAAGCCAAACTATTAATAATGGCTAAACCAACGGCTACTTAAATTGGAAAGTGGATAAAAGGGGAACTTATATTTTTTACCTTATACATATAGGTTCATCTTACAAGCATGTATTACTTCTACCGTTTCAAATATTTCAACTCAAAAACCAAATAGAAATGCATCCATTTAAAAGATACAAACAGAGGAACATGTTTTATGTTGCAAATTGAAAAGTTAATCACCTATTACTTTTGGCCTAATGATTATTTTAAAACATTATAGGTACCAGAAATCATAATTTTGTTTTATTTAATCTAAGATCAAACTAAGAACATCTTAACCACTCTATTCTTGATTCATTAGTTCTGACTTACAGCACTTAGTTTAATACCCACTGTTTTCTGCCAGGGATTCTGTCTCAATCTTCTCTAAGAGAGGAGGTAGCTGGGAGGGTGGTCTTAATTCATTTTCACCAAGTATACCCTCAGAATTCTTGACATAGTCCTGTTCTCTGTTAACGTCATAAGTGCTAAAATGAAGAAAGAAAAAAATCATAAAATGAATAATTCTATTTATAGCATATTTACTATAGAAACAAATGTTCACCAAGTATCTAATTTGCATTAGGAATGATTATGTAATGTTTATTTGCCTCCTTTGACAAGCATTCTCAGCTAAGGACTAAATTTGCTCTATAAGCAGTAACACATAATCTGAAATGTTTTTCCTCCAAACGTCTTTCACTTCTGAAGAAAATCTTGTATACAGAAATACATTATGCTTAATCACTTTCACTTACTGAAAAAAGTATCTTTCACAGAACCACATCTTTATCCCACTGATTGAAAATAACAAAATCAAGCAGAACGCAATTTTAAAAAATCTTCTCCCCAAATTAATAGTATATAAATTCATTAAACAAAAGTATCAGTAGTGACTATTACACATCTAATACCATGCTATACCTTGGATTTATCAAGACAAATGAGAAACACTATTACAGAGAAACAGGCTTTACATTAAAAGAGTTCAGATTAGGTGGGCATGGTGTCTCATGCCTGTAATCCCAGCAATCTGGAAAGCCAAAGCAGGCAGACTGAGCTCAGGAGTTTGAGACCAGCTTGGGCAACAAAGTGAGAACCAATCTCTATAAAAAATACAAAAATTAGTCAAGCACAGTGGAGTGCACCTGCAGCCCCAGCTACTCGGGAGGCTGAGGTGGGAAGATGGCTTGAGTGTGGGGGGAGGAGGTTGCAGTAAGCTGAGATTGCGCCCGTGCACTTCAGCCTGGATGACAGAGCCAGATCATGTCAGAAAGTAAAAAGAGAGGAAAAGAACGGAGAAATGGGGAGAAATGAAGAGAGAAAGAGAGGAAGGGAGTGAGGGAGGGAAAGAGGGAAGAAGGAATTCAGGGAGGGAGGAAGAGACAGAAAGAGAGAAAGAGAAAGGGGAAAAAGAGAGAAAGAGGAAGGAAGGAAGGGAGGGAGGGAAAGAGAAAGGAAGGAGGGAAAGAGCAAGCTCAGACTAGACAAGAAAGAAAAATCTGCAAAGAAATCAGAACTATAAATGTGTAGGAGTATCTAGAACATGATATAGTAGATATATAGTGATACAACTAATTTTATGGAGCTGGAGATATATCAAGAAAGATTTTATAGAAGCATAGATACTTGAAATCTGAGAAGATACTCAAATGAGGAAGCCAAAAAAGGAAACTAGTGTGTGTACGTTTTCTAGATAGTAGAAATAGTGTGAGCAAATGAACAGAGTAATAAACATAATACGTTAAAGGAACTGCAAATAGTTTAACATGACTGATTACGGGAAGAAGAGGGGAGAAGAATAAGAACAAATAAAAAGATAAAAAAGTGGTAAAGTTTTTCGTTTTTATCATGAGTCTGTGTCATTATTATTGGGGATTTCAATATGCTTCACAGAAAATAGCATGTATAGTTTTACAGCACATTTTTTTCACCCAAAAGGAACTGGAGGTAAATTGTGTGGATACAGTCAAGATTACCTAGGAAAAGTAACTATATTGATAATAATTCATGAAGGAGGTTGTCTATGTAGGAAAAAATTGGGAATTGGGAGACCAGGACTCCGGTGCAGGTTCTACCACTAACATGTTTTGAGACAGTGGTTGAAGAAAGAGTGGACTGACTTCCCAACAATCACATCCCTTGTACTTCAGTTCTGCAAAACCACAATTTTGTTCAGGTATCAGGAGATCCGATGGTTCAGAAAAAGTTTGGGTATGTGTGAGAGAGAGAAAATGAGTGAGTGAGGGAGAGTGAGTGTGTGTGTGGGAGAGAATCTCAATTACTCTAGTATCATTACGGCAATTATACTACTCCCTTTGAATAGTGATTGTTTTAGGAATAAACATGTGACTCAGTTCCCGCCAATGAGAGATAAATAAATGGAAGTCTAAAGAGAGTTCTGGGAAAGCTTTCTTAGAAAAGGACTCCATCTTCTAGCCTATGATCTTGTCTGAAGATGTGTTGCCTGGATCTCCTTGCAACTAACATGGGATTGGTCAGCCAACATGGGATGGAACAGAACAGAAAGAACCTAGATCCTTGACCTGTTGAAATAAACTAACCTGGGGGCTGCCTTATCTTTGGACTTTTTAATATATGAAATAATATATATTCCTTATTGTTTAAACTTTTATTGGAAGCTGAAAACATACTAACTGATGGATTTTGTTAAATGTATACTCTCAAAGGCCTCATTTAGTTATAATTACCTCTCTAAAGCTCTTTCAGTTGTGACTCTACAGGAGCTTTACTGAAGGTTTGCTGCACATGAGGCATGGTGCAGTGGCATCAGATAAGTTAGCAAATTCCTTTTTCTTTGTTGCCATGGAGACATTATCCTAGTAAGTATATATTAGCAAGGAAGCTATTGTTATTAATGATAACAATGGCTAACATTTGTTGGGTGCTTACTTTTATTTTTCCCGAGACAGAATCTCATTCTGTATCCCAGGCTGGAGTGCAGTGACTCGATCCTGGTTCACTGCAACCTCCACCTCCCCGGTTCAAGCGATTCTTCTGCCTCGGTCTCCTGAGTAGCTGGGATTACATGGCTAAGTTTTGTATTTTTAGTAGAGATGGAGTTTCACATGTTGGCCAGGTTGGTCTCAAACTCCTGGCCTCAAGTGATCTGCCTGCCTCCGCCTCTGCCTCCCAAAGTGCTGGAATTACAGGCATGAGCCACTATGCTAGGCCTAGGTTTTACTACTTAACTGTATTTATTAATCATTGCTGAGCCATATTGGATAGTCAAGTTCCTTTCTTACACCATGTTTTGTTTTCTGATTTAAAATAGTCTCTGCTTAAATTTCAGTTACCAATCATCATTTCAGCTTGAAATTCTAGACAACTAACAATTTTCTCTGGATAAAGATAGATCAAAGATTTTGTTTGTTTTGAGCAGTTTCCGTTTTTTGGAAGCATCCTTTCTGGAGAACTCTGTCTTCCAGCTTGAATCTGGGCTTGTGCCCTTTGATATTACTGCCTGGTTTTCTAACTTCGCTAGGAGATGTTAAGATACAAAATAGATCTACAGATTCAGCACAATCTCAGTATGCAGGAGCTGATGATCTGATTCTAAAATTTATATAAGAAGCATTGAGAGTAGCCAAAACAATTTTGAAAAAGTAGAACAAAGTTGAAGGACTCACTACCTGATTTTAAGAATTACTACAAAGCTAAAGTACTCAAGACAATGTGGTACTGATACTTAAAAAATGCATAACAGATTTTCAGCAACACTGCCAATATAACTGCATGGAGAAAGAGTATCTTTACAATAAATGGTGCTATGGAACAACTAAGATGGGGGGAAAAAACATGACCCTCCAACCTCTATACCTTAAACCATAAAATTTAACTCAAAATGAATCATAGACCTAAACATAAAAACTAAAACTGGCTAAAATTATAAAATTTAAAAAAATCATAGGAAAAAATTTTCTTGACTATGGGGTACATAGTGTTTTCATAGGGCACAAAATTAATGACTTAGAGAAATGTATACATCAAACTTTCTGAAAATTAAAACCATCTGATCTTCCAAAGGTATCATTATTAAGAAATGGGAAATATTTGCAGAGGACTTGTACCTAGAATACATAAAATACTCACATTTTACAAAAGAAAGCATATAATAAAAGGAAACATGGGAAATGGGTCAACATTATTAGTTATCAGGGAAGTGCTAATTAAAACCACAATAAAATACTACTGCTCCAGTAGAATGGCTAAAAAGACTGAAAAGACTAAGTGTTGGCAAGGATCAGGAACAACTGGAACACTCCTAGTAGAAACACAAAGCCAAATGAAAAATTATATAGTCAACTAAAAAAATAACGTCAGCTTCTTATGAACACAAACTTACCATATGAACCAACAATTCTCTACCTAGATATTTACCTAAGAGAATGAAACACATCCACAAAAACACCTGCACATGAATATCAGGGCAGCTTTTTCACAGTAGCCTAAAATTGGAAACAGCTCCAATATTCATCAATAGGCGAATAAACCAACTTGTATATTCATGCATAATAATGCTCAGCAATAAAAAAATGAAAAACAGACTTTTGGGGTCGAGTGCAAGGCGGTGTGATTGTGTGTATGAGTATGTCATGTGCTACTATTCAGGGAAGAACTGGGCTAGGAGCATATCTTTGAGGGCGGCTCGAACGCTGCAGCCAGGTTCCCGGGAGTCCAGCCCTGGCCTATGCTCCACTTTGTCCCTGAGCGTTTAAACGTTACTTCCTGAATCTCAGACCCACAGTTCCTTGCAGGTTTCGTCGTGAGCCGGCTGCAAATTTTGAACCTAAGTAAACCTCAATCCGGAGGGCCTAGTGGTAAGGTGGGCACTGTGTCTATCTGAAGTGCTCAGCAATAAAGCAAAGGCAGTGAGTTGATTAAAAAAAAAAAAAAGAAAGAAAGAAAGAATAATATACATGCATGCATCTCAAAACATTAAACTGGGCAAAAGTCATCAGACACAAAAGAGTACATACTGTAGCACATGAGCGAAGCGGTGGGGAGCAGGCACAGGACTGGGATGCTGTGGCCCCCAAGAGGCCCTGAGTTGGGGCAGGAAACAAGATCGGAGGCTGTAGGCTTATTGTGGTGCTGGAAGGGGCCAGTCTGGAGACAGTCAAGGTAGGGAAGACACGTGAGCTACTCAACTGTGACAAGCACAAGTCTACATTGCTGAAGAATGGACGGGACCCCGGGGAAGGGCGGCCAGACATAGCCCACCAGTTTACTGATGCTGATGGAAAGTCCCCTGAACCGAGCTGGCTTGCTGCAAGTTTATATCCACAAACAGAAGAATGTTCTGATTGAAGTGAACCCCCAGACCCGAATCCCCAGAACCTTTGACCGCTTTTGTGGCCTCGTGGGTAAATAAGAATCCAGTATCAGATAGATCACTTTCCAGTTGGATGTCTGAAAGTTGGCACTTCTTTTTCCATCCCGGTTGTCAGTGATCTGTGAGCTAGTGCCCAGTGTTAGCTAGTACCCAGCAGTGATCCTACTGTTTCTGTGGTGGGGGCCTTTGCCCATGGTAAGGTCAGTGTGGAGTATACAAAGATGGTGTCTATCAGCAACTATCCTCTTTCTGCTGCCCTCATCTGTGTAAAACTTACCACAGCCTTTGAGGAAGTACGGGGGGTCATTTGACAGTAGTAGAACCTGTTCTGAAACCAGAAACTATTGATGTTACATCCTTTGACCCTGGTCTGAGCTGACTGCTAGAAGATAATCTTTCTGCACTGAGACTGCGGAGTTTGGGGAGCCAAGGCTGTACATTTGCTATTTGTTTATCCTATGAATACTGCTCGTGCGAAAAAAAAAAAAAGAGTACATACTCTAGAATTCTATACATATGTAGTCCAAGAAGCAGGAAAATTAATTTATAGTGATAAAAAGCCTTTTGCTGATTGCCTACAGCAGGGTGCAAGAATAGGAAAATTGACTGCAAGTAGGGTAAGCACAAGGGAACTTTCTCGGGTGATAGACACACACTATATTTTTATTGGTGTAGTCGTCATATGGTACATATATTTACCAAAATTCACTGAACTGTATACTGAAATTGTGTTCATTTTATTGTATGAAAATTAGACCTCAATAAAATTGAGCTGATAGCCCCCAAACAAAACCTACTGGTTATGAATTTGGCCATAAAGGAAATGCCAAGAGTACTAACAAACAATTGATCTCCGAATAAACAATTGATCTGTGATCAAAATCAAGTAAAATAACAATGTAACCATAAAAAGTTAATCTCAAAAGCTCCATGTTTGGAAATTTTAAAAATCCTACTTAAAAATGATTCATAAGTGAAAGAGTAACATGTTTTTTTTGAGACGGAGTTTCACTCTTGTTACCCAGGCTGGAGTGCAATGGCGCGATCTCGGCTCACTGCAACCTCCGCCTCCTGGGTTCAGGCAATTCTCCTGCCTCAGCCTCCTGAGTTGCTGGGATTACAGGCACGCACCACCGTGCCCAGCTAATTTTTTGTATTTTTAGTAGAGACGGGGTTTCACCACGTTGACCAGGATGGTCTCGATCTGTTGACCTCGTGATCCACCCGCCTCGGCCTCCCAAAGTGCTGGGATTACAGGTGTGAGCCACCATGCCCGGCCACATGTTTTATCTAAGCTTAAGATATTATCTGAAATATCTACAAGATAACTGTTAGTTTCAAATGTATACATTACGGAAGAAAAACATTGTAAAAAATTAACAAGCTAAAGAGTCAGTTCAAGAACTTAGAAAAAGGAACAACATAGTAAACCCAGAGCAAATAATGAAAAGATCAGATATTAAATAGAAGAAAAAATGGCCGAAGAAAGATTAGCTTTTTGACAAAAATATTAACATATATTTAATCAAATTAGTCAAGGACAAAACACAGCACCAAAAACCAACATTACAAATAAAAAGGAGTGTGATTTACAGGTACTATAAATCATAAGAGTAATAGAAACAATATAAAAAAAACTGAAATCATAAAAGGGAATTTTCTAGAAACAAGTATCAAAGCCTACCTAAGAAAACAGAATATACCTACAACTATTAATTGAGTTGTTTAATTGTTACATGTATTTAAGTTTCAAGCCCAGAAGTTTTCCCACATAAACATTTTTCTCAAGAATAAAAATTATTATTTTTTTTTGAGATGGAGTCTCATCCTGTCACCAGGCTGGAGTGCAGTGGTGCAATTTTTGCCTCCCAGGTTCAAGTGATTCTCCTACCTCACCCTCCCAAGTAGCTGGGATTACTGGCACCCACCGCTACGCCCATCTAAGTTTTGTATTTTTAGTAGAGATAGGATTTCACCATGTTGGCCAGGCAGGTCTAAAACTTGCGACTGCAGGTGACCCACCTGCCTCAGCCTTCCAAAGTGCTGGGATTACAGGCTTGAGCCACCATGCCTGGCCCAGAATGAAAACTTGCTTAAATTATATAGCACAATCTTGAATGAAAACCCAGAAAGGAACAACTATAAAAGAAAGTTTTAAGGCCTGGCACAGTGGCTCACAAGGTAAAGAGATGAAGACCATCCTGGCCAACATGGTGAAAGCCCATCTCCACTAAAAATACAAAAATTAGCTGGGTAGGGCGGCACGTGCCTGTAGTCCCAGCTATTCAGGAGGCTGAAGCAGGAGAATTGCTTGAACCCTGGAAGCAGAGGTTGCAGTGAGCTGAGATCACACCACTACACTCCAGCCTGGTGACACAGGAGAGACACTGTCTAAAAAAAAAAAAAAAATTTTTAAGGAAATATCACCAATGACAACACATGCAAAAAATCTTAAATAATAACATCAGAAAAACCTAAACTAGCAATACATATAAAACATAAAACAACATGATTGAGGTAAAGCTTATGCTAGAAATTCAAGGAAGGAAGGTGTAACATTAGAAAATTTATTCATACAATTAATCATAGTGAAACTGGGCACAGAGGCTCACGCCTGTAATTCCAGCACTTTGGGAGGCCAAAGTGGGTGGATCAACTGAGGTCAGGAGTTCGAGACCAGGCTGACCAACATGGAGAAACCCTGTCTCTACTAAAAATACAAAAATTAGCTGGGTGTGGTGGCGCATGCCTGTAATCCCAGCTACTTGGGAGACTGAGGCAGGAGGACTTGCTTAAACTTGGGAGGTGGAGGCTGCAGTGAGCCAAGATCGAGCCATTGCACTCCAGCCTGGGGAACAAGAGCGAAATTCTGTCTCAAAAAAAAAAAAAAAAAAAAAAGTTAATCCTGCTGAGAGATTAAAGAAAAACCTATGCCTTACTATAAAAAAAAAAGTTCATAAAACTCAACAGCCACTTGAGATTCATAGTAAATAGATTACTTGATAAACAGATATCTAGAAAGCAGCCTACATATATAATGGTGGGACATTAAAGTACTCCCTTTAAAATTAGGAAGACAATGATCCCTAACAGTATCTTCTAGTTAATTATTGAGAATTTAGCAGTTAATTCTGTTGCTGAAGTTTGCTTTTTCATTTACTGATCAGCTGGTATCTGTCTTCTAGTTGTTTACTCAAAAAGGCTCATATAAAACAACCCATCAATGGAGGCAGCTGGCTTCACTGCTCAGGTGATTTATCCTGAACCATCCAGGGCCCCGTACTGGATTGCCACACAGCTCACATTGCATGCAAGTTTGCTGAGCTGAAAGAAAAGACTGATTGCTGTTCTGGTAAAAACCTGGAAGATGGCCCTAAATTCTTGAAGTCTGGTGGTGCTGCCATCGTTGATAGGGTTCCTGACAAGAACACCATGTGCGTTGAGAGGTGTGCTGTGATACGAGACAGACAGTTGCTGTGGGTGTCATCAAAGCAGTGGACAAGAAGGCTGCTGGAGCTGGCAAGGTCACCAAGTCTGCCCACAAGGCCCAGAAGGCTAAACGAGTATTATCCCTAATACCTGGCATCCCAGTCTTAATCAGTGGTGGAAGAACGGTTTCAGAACTGTTTGCTTCAATTGGCCATTTAAATTTAGTAGTAAAAGACTGGTTAATGGTAACAATGCATCGTAAAATTTTCAGAAGGAAAGGAGAATATTTTGTGGACCACCTTGGTTTTCATTTTTGCTGTGGCAGTTTTAAGTTATTAGTTTTTAAAATCAGCACTGTTTAATGAAAACAACTTGACCAAAAATTGGTCACAGAATTTTCAGACCCATTAAAAAAGCTTAATGAGGGGGAAAAAAAAGATGCAAAACCCTGAATGTTTAAAACTACCAGCCAGTAAGTAGTCTTTATACCCAAAGGACACCATGGCAGGACAAAAAAATATTTGGCTCACATGTTCTTTCTTTGAATAGCTGACAGGTAGTTCCTCTACTATTTTCTGGTATTGAATGTTTCTGTTATTCTGAACCAACCTCATTTTCTTTATATTATCTTTTGCCAATTCAAATTTTGGGCCAGTTTTCCCTGGAGCATGTTGTGTCTTTTCAATAGATTTAAATCCTTTCTTTTATTTTCGTTTTTTTTGAGACAGAGTCTCGCCCTGTTGCCCAGGCTGGAGTGCAGTGGCACAACTTCAGCTCACTACAACCTACACCTCCCGGATTTAAGTGATTCCCCTTGAACAACCTGGACACCACCAAAAAATTGTTAGAATCAATAAATAAATTCAGTAAAGTTGCAGGATACAAAACCAACATACAAAAATCAGTAGCGCTGATATAGGCCAGCAGCAAACAATCTGAAAAAGAAATCAAGAATGCAATCCCATTTACAACAGCTACAAAGAATATAACATACCTGGGAATCAACTTAGCCAAAGAACTGAAAGATCAATACAAGAAAAACTATAAAACAATGATGAAAGAAAGTGAAGTAGACATTAAAAAATGGAAAGATACTCTATGCTCATGGACCGAAAGATTATGTTGTTAAAATGACAATACTACCAAAGCCAATTTATAGATTAAATGCAATCGATCCCTATAAAAATTCCAATAACATTCTTTACAGAAATATTAAATCCTAAAATTTATGTGGAACAACAGAAGACCCTGAATAGCCAAAGCAATACTGAGCAGAAAGAACAAAGCTGCAGGCATCACACTCCCTGACTTCAAAATTTACTACAAAACAACAGCACTGACATAAAAACAGACACACAGACCAATGGAACAGAACAAGAGGTGTAAAATTTTTAAACCCAGGTGTAAAATTCATGTATAGTCAATTCATCTTCAACAAAGGAGCTAAAGCATACAATGGGAAAAGAACAGTCTCTTTAATAAATGGTGCTGGGAAAACTGGATAACTATATGCAGAAGAATGAAACATATCATACACAAGAAAACAAGTAAAAATGGATTAAAGACTTACATCTAGGCATCTAAGACCCAACACTATGAAACTCCTAGAAGAAAACACTGGGAAAATGCTCCAGGACACTGGTCTGGGCAAAGTTTTTTTTTTAAGACCTTAAAAGCACAGGCAACCAAAGCAAAAACAGACAAATGGGATTACATCAAGCCAAAAAAAAAAAAAAAGCTTCTGCACAGCAAAGGAAACAACGAAGTAAAGAGACAACCCACAGAATGGGAGAAAATATTTGCAAACTACTCACCCACCAAAAGATTAACAACCAGAATATATAAGGAGCTCAAACAACTCAACAGCAAGCAAACACACACACATACACACACAAACACACACACACAATCTCACAAATAATCCAATTAAAAAACAAGTGAAAGACCTGAATAAACATTTTTCAAAAGAAGACATAAAAATGGCCAAGAGACAGACGAAAAAATCCTCAACAGCATAAATTATCAGAGAAATCACACACC